AAGGAACAACTGTAGAAAAAATATAATGTGCCTTCAAATGATCTTTTATAGTATACAAATTACACAATTACATCTTTCTTGCCAAACTTTGTCATAGTTGCAGCAGATAAACTTGATGAACATGTTATGTTGGGTATGAGGTAATCAGGGCCTGAAATGTATCAAGTGTTTCACAGTATACTATAGAACTTAAGACACTAATGCCCCAGAGTACGACTACTTATGAAGCTTCCTACACTTTCATTATCTATAACTGCTGATCCTTTGCAGGGTCGCAGGGGGCTGCTGCAGATCCCAGCTGACACTGACCTGTCCAGAGTCAACAGTTTCTCACAGGGCTGACACTCTTTATTAGAAAATTCATTGGAATGTGGTTAATTTTTGAAGTGTTATGACCTTTTTGAAAAGTAGTTCACCTTCTGATCCAGCAGAGGGTGCTCCACTATCAGCTTGACCTATGGCATGCCCCTTTGACCTGTCAGTAAGCTAAGCTAGTAATGTTATGTTGTTTACTACTAAAATGGAAGACACCAGCGAGCAAAGCATGGAGCAATGGACAATCAGACAACAAAGCACCTGAAAAGCAGTGAGCTTGTGACGACTTTGTATAAAATAGACAACAGATCTGCAGACTAACTTGCTAATGGTAGCCTGCCACCCAAGTGAGGCAGCAAAGTGGAGGCACCACAGACACGAAGCAAGATCAAGTGCACAAACTTGTTGGCTACTATTCGGCACACTTGGCTTCAGCAGGCCCTTCACCAGAAGCTTATTCAATACTCCCTATGGTGCATTTGTTATTGTAGAAGTTCTATCCTCTCTTACATCATTCTCCAGGAAGTTGAACATGCTCCTCTCGGCCAGCTCTTTGCTCTCCTCGAACTTTTCCACAGCCTGCCGGATCTCCTCGTCTGGGATCTTCCCCTGACGCTTCTTCTTATAGTCAAAGTCTAATCGACGGCCCTCCAGCTTCTTCAGGTGGTGCTGCAAACACACAGGAATGTCAATATAATGTATCTTTATTCACAACACAAGTCTGAAGACTTTCCTTATGCAAAAACACTGTACTGTATGACCTGTATGTATTGATATAAACTTACAGACTGACATAACAATAATAGTAACAATACAAACTCAAGGGAAATGCTGACCTCTGTGCAAAAAATGGATTACATAGCATTGCATGAATTTTCATCACACAAAATCCAAATTCATATTATTGGTGTTTGTCACCAAAAAGGTATTTTATCCTAACACTGACATTATGTTTATGTGGTTTTGTGAAAGGACAGAACTAACTTCCAGAGGCAGCTGGACTCACAAGATCACACGAGAATCCATCTTGCCAGGCTTTAAGCTATGTGCTTGTGGCAGGTACAGTACAGTACAGTACTGGTAGCTGCGGGGGTGGGCACTAAGTGTGATGCACAATAATGGTTCTATCAGAGCTGGAAAGTATTTCTTCATTGAAAGAAG